AGGGGGGGGGGAGACCCAGCCGCCCAAAAAGAAAACTCAGCTTCGAGCCGTCACCCTCCGCCACGAAAGAAGAGAAAGGGGATTGAGACTAAGAGAAAAAAGAAGAAGAAAAAAAAGGATCTCGGCTTGTCCAGCCCTTCTGCGGCAACAGGAGCAGACAGCGAACCCGGTGGATTTTTTTTTCCCCTTTTTTCGGCGTTTCTTTTCCAGCGCAAGGACTTCCACTCAGGAAAAAAAAAAAAAAAAAGCCCAAAACCAACACCCGCAGAGACCGAATACAAAAAAAGCAAGACTAATAATGAACAATCCTTTTAATCCGCTGTCCCGAGGGCTGGGGATGTGCCCCGGCTCGGGAAGTTGTAGGCTGTAGAAGTTCTGCCTCTCCCCCACGTACTGTGCTGTCTAGAGCTTGTCTCCCCCCACCCTAATTTTTGGTGCTTTATTGCTGTTGTTGTTATTATCTTAATTTTTCTTCTTCATGATGTGCTGTTAGAAACCACTCCGGGACTACTCCAGCAGTAGGAAGACCGAGGAGTGGAGTGGATGAATATACCGATGAGAGATCCAGTAATCCCTGGGACAAGCATGGCTTATCATCCTTTTTTACCTCACCGGGCACCGGACTTTGCCATGAGCGCTGTATTGGGACATCAGCCTCCCTTCTTCCCGGCTCTGGCTTTGCCTCCCAACGGGGCGGCCGCCCTCTCCCTTCCCGGGGCTCTGGCTAAACCCATCATGGATCAGTTAGTAGGGGCTGCAGAGACTGGTATCCCCTTTTCTTCCCTGGGTCACCAGGCAGCAGCCCATCTGAGGCCTTTAAAAACTCTGGAGCCAGAAGAAGAGGTAGAAGATGATCCAAAAGTGCATCTGGAAGCCAAAGAGCTTTGGGAGCAGTTCCATAAAAGAGGCACGGAGATGGTGATTACCAAATCTGGAAGGTAGGTCTGAATCGGGGGTTCGTGGTTTTCCCCCCCTCCCCTCTCCCCCCACCCTTCAGTCTCTGCACCCCACCAGACTGCTCCAGAGCAAGGCTCTTTCAGCGGCAGCTTTCTCCATAAAGCTCCTTTCACCTGGGATTATGGAAAGTTTTAGGCAGCTGAAGATCCGAGCTCATCTGGGGCACCCCGCTGCAGGGAAAGGCTGGGGCGCTGAACCACCAACCGGCCCTGCTCAGGGCGTGCGGGGGGCGAGAGGGTCCCTTCATGGTTCAGTAGCTTAATGCTTTCTGGAGAAGACTGGTAGCAGAAAGGAAATAATTTGGGGTTGGAAAAGGAGCTGGCCTGATTTCAGTCTTGCTACGGGTAGTTTTTCTTCCTTAAGAAAGAGAAAGGGAAATAAAGGAGAAATTACTAGGAGCGGTGCGTCGCTGCTGGTGAGCTGCAGGAGGGCAGATAGGCTCGGTTTATCAGTTTCTTCTCTCTCTCTGCTGGGATCCAGGCGTGCATTTGTGCTGACTAATTATATGTGGAAATGCACAGAAAGCTGACAAAAATACCCAGCGGTTCTGCAGCCGCTGCTGTAGTGGCAGGGAGGGATTTGCCGTTCCCTGTATTTATATAACCTTCACGTGGGAATGAATGAATATACACGGCGCGTCCACGCTCGGCATTTCTGCTTTTTATGGGTTTATCCAGCCGAAATCTCGCTGTATGTTCGCTGCTCGCTGATACCCCTGCTCTTTTACAACTCTACCTATTGCTGTGATGACACGTAGGGTGAAAACCCCCTTCGTACGCGGGTATTTTTATAAGGAACGCTCTTAGAAACCTCCCAAACAATTTGCGTGTAATTTGCCAGGAGAATTACTCGAGGAAGCCACTCCTGAAAAGTCTTCTTAGATGGCCTTCAGCTGCCTTGCTGTAGCTTCACCTACTTACAGAGTACCAGTTGCAGGCTACAGGCTTAGGAAAAAAAACCCCTACACCCCAAGATCAGCAAGGAGGAAAAAAAAAAAATTCCCTCGCGCATTTTACTGCTTTCACGAAGTTTTCTCTGTTAATTGTGGTCAAAAGTTTTCTTTGCGCGAAAGCCTCGGCGAGTGTTAAGCGCTCTTCCATGTTGCAAAGTCATGTGTTTCCTTTTAAGTGGAGATTGCTGAATGCCAACCGCTCGATATAATAAACAGCAAATTTGTGGTATCCTGTTGCAGTTTCGAGCTGGACTTGGGAGCGGAGGGGAGAGGGGTTTGCAGGGAGCCCTCGGCACAAGAGGGGGGGATCACCGGGAGGCTGTCGCGCAGGGAAAGCCACGGCAGCCCCCTGCCCTCACTGTAGGCTTTTCTTCCTCCTCCTCCGCAAAGTGAAAAACTCCCCTCTCTTCATAGGGTTGTAATAATGCAGAATATTTATCTTAAGGGGGTGCGATGTGTTCCCCTTTCTTTTGTTTAGCAGGCCAAAAAGGGAATAATGAAAGATCCCAGAGCCCCGAGTGAGGCTTTGCTGTTTAGGAATGGCAGAGGGTAGGCGCCTGCTGATTTCTAGGGAACACGTCCCTTTCCCCTCCGCCTCCCATCCCAGGGACCATTTTTTCCTGAAACTTTTAAGCGTTTGGGAAACCTTTTCGCTGGGAGCAGGGGGACACCCTTTTGCTGGGGACGACTTTTCTGCTTCTGAGAGCTGAAGCAGTGGCTTGGTGGACGCGTTCCCGAGATTCAGGAGCTTATTTAAACGCTGTAATTAATTTTATTTTATTTTTGTCTTGTCTTTTCTTTATACTCCCCCCCCCCGCCCATAGGAGAATGTTTCCTCCATTTAAAGTGAGATGCACTGGACTGGATAAAAAGGCCAAGTACATTTTATTGATGGATATAGTGGCAGCTGATGATTGTAGGTACAAATTCCATAATTCCCGGTGGATGGTAGCCGGCAAAGCTGACCCTGAAATGCCAAAGAGAATGTACATCCACCCGGACAGCCCGGCCACCGGCGAACAATGGATGTCCAAAGTCGTCACCTTTCACAAGCTGAAGCTCACTAACAACATCTCTGACAAGCACGGATTTGTGAGTGCCTTTTAC